TCGATCCACCTCGACTACTTCGTCTATTCTTGTGCTATCTCGGAGATGTTTGGATTGACTATGTTTCAGGAAAGGACGACTTTGCGGCTCAGAGAGCTGAATTCATGGATATATTTGGTAAGCTACGGCGACCCTCTACTCGCAAAGACTAATTCATATCAGAGGGAAGAGTTGAAGATGAGAGATCATCCCTTGACAAAGACTCGAAGACCAGGGACGAACTTGCCGCGGAATTAGCCAAACTTAAACTCTCCGAGGTAGCACAAGAATAGACGAAGTAGTCGAGGTGGATCGAAAGGTGTATCTGTTGTTCCTTCCTCCTCTGGGTCCTCGACTAGATTGGGGTCTTTCCCTTCCTCCATCCAGTTTTTGTCAAACTATTGATGAGGCATTAGAGACGACGATCTAAATGACCACGAGTACCTGCCTCATATATCTGCACCATCCAGTGTAACGTTCCTAGCAAATGAGGCCAGACATGCGGAGTTATAATCGTGAACGAGAGTTTGCTTAATGAGTCTATCCATGGATAGCGAACGACTCTGAGTAATTCGATAACTTCTTCGTCCATCTTTCTCGCTCCTGGTACTCGATCGTCGTCGAAAGTGATATTATAGATAAATAGAAAGGTGTCCTGGAACTCTTTTGCAGAAGGAGTTGGATGGACGCGAAGTCCACCATCTTTACCTTGTTCACGAAGAAAATCATTGATACCCTTTAACATGACCGCTTGATGAGCTCGCTCACGTAGCGGTCTCTCGTCTGGAATATATGTATTTTTGGGCAAGATGCCATTTCGTATGACAGTCCCTGGGGCTACGTGCGTTGAAGGTTGTCGAAGACTTTTCCATGTTAATATATCTAGATGACGAAATTATAGGTACTTACGGCGTGCGGGAGGATAAGGCGCCATTCGGGACGTTGGAGAACAGGGAATTAGGCGGAGGACCTGGTCTCGTCGATTGTCTCCTGACAGAATGACTTGGCTTCATGACTGAATGTGTCAGAGAAGGCTGAGGTAGGTTTGAACTAAAGGATTTTTCTGGCTGGCTGAATATATTGTTTGCATGACCCCCTCCAAGCGATTGGCGCATTCTGCCCAATCGGCTCTGTGGTTTAGGCGTTTCAAGCGCGTAAACTGGAACTGGAAGTCCAGATGGACCTCCTGCGCGTCGATTTTCCATGGTGAAACGGCCACGGCA